TTTTTTTTTTGTCTGAAATGTCTCTAAATACTGCAAGAAAGTTGCTGAGTTGGCAACAGGGGGATGACTATTGTTAACCTCGAATGTGACCTGGTGGGCCGGCCTGTCAGTCAAACCTCTATCACAGGAAAACAAAAGATGACAGTGGTTGATTTTTAGACCTTTGATGAGGTAGATAAGATCAGTGGATAAGATCAGCTTCACATGTAAATATCGGCTGATCACCAATCTCCCAAAATGAAGGAAATCGATACTAATAAATTGGCTGGCCGATAAATCGGTGCACCCCTACTCCATGATTTCCTCAAACTAGCCCAAGCTAACTGGCCCTGGAAACCAACCATTCTGTAAACAATACATTAATAATTTGTTGTTTATTATTTAGCTTTAGTGAGATACACTGATATAGTAGTTTATAAACTACTATATCAGTAGTTTATATCAGTGGGTGTTACACTGATGGGTGTTCAGTGTAACACCCATCAAAACAGAAACATCGGTATGTTGGCTGATAAACAAACCTGTTGGACTTACGGTATGCTGACAGGGCATGCCAAACCAACAGAACACCAGCATCAAGCAGAGATGGACTAAAATCTAACATCTAAAATAACGTGAAAGATCTTACTGTGAGATGGTTCTGGTATGGGAGCAGCTGGGAGAGGTCGCTGGGACCTTGGTTGACTTGATGGATGGGCCATTTTGATGGGACCAACAAATTCGACGAAGGTCCCTGGGAAGTCACCTCTCTGCTTGGTGCGTTCGTTGTATCCTAGGAGCCAGCCTAGACGCTCCGGGTACTCCTCAAAGCCATCCTCGTAGCTCTGCACTGACATTAGAGAGGCCTTGCTGATGGTCAGGAGGTCCCCTGGCTGCAGGTCCAAGTCCTCTTCTTGGTCCTTGGTAAATGTGTAGAGCACACGGTACTGGAAACCATCTGTCGCCATTTTGTTGAGCAGAGGAGTTCCTTTTTTCGTCGATAATGGAATCCTGCTCAGAAACTGAAGCTGCTGCTGAGTCACCAAAGGGAGGTGTTGGTGCTGTGGTTTCTAGGCTGGGGGAGCTGAAGGAAGGAGGAAAAGTCACCCAAAGCTTAGAAGCATTTTTACTAGTTTATAAGGTAGCTGCTGTAATGACTGTGGTGGCAGCGGCTTCAGAGCTGACCAGTGTTGCTGGACTGCTGTACTTTCCTCAGCTTGATACCGCGGTTCAGCCAAATGATGGAGCAGAGGGAGAGCATCGGCAACATATTCCTTTAAGTGGCAAAAACCGTGAGACTGGTCCTACTTTTGTGTTCTGATGAAAGATTACGAAAAGCCAACAGCCCGGTGTCGGTGGATCTCCACACTCTAAAAAGACGGATTGGAGGAAAAATGTTTGGAGTAGAGAGCTTTTTAATCCTTTAAGTTTGCTGAAATTCAGGAGAAGGAATAACTGACCTGCATAACAGAAACAAGAAACAAAGAATTAAAAAAAAATAAGTTAAACAAGTGATACTAATTTGAAAATAATAAAAAAAGATGTTACGAAACCATCACAGTTACAGCTAAAAAGATGACGCTGTTCGATAAATACCCAAAGAAAGGAGGTACAGACCTACGTGAAATGAAGCTAAAGCGATGCATGAAAATGGCGAACTGCGACAGCTCCATGCATCTGTGCAGTCTACACTTAGGAAGGAGAGATCAGATGATGATGTTGCGTCATAGCCAACAGCAGACTGTGACCTGGACTAGAGCCTTAGCTAAATTCATTCCCTCCGCAGAACACCTTCCACAGGAACAACAAGTTTCACTATGAAATAACCGTTCTTTCAAAACACACACCAAAAAGGCTGATGAACAGAAGTGGAAGGAAGGATTTTGCAGTATGAGCATGCAACCAAAGACAAGAACCACAAATCAGCCAGAATGTTCCTAAAAAGGCAGGATGCTTTGCCACAGTTGTTCCTACATGGGACAGAAAAGCAGTAATTGTGTTGATTCAGAACTATTTTGATTTGATTTAGTCAAAACACTTCAGTCACTCCATCATATTTATGCTATGCAAGATAAAGCTAGTTAAAAACAAGTAGTCATTAATGTGTAAAGATTTATATATGTAAATGCAGCAAATACATCATCAGGGATTATGTGTAATTGAAAACCACAATATACATAACTGCAAAGCCTAATGAAATGCACACAGCATATATAGTTTGTGCCGAGCATCTAAAAGAAAACAGCTTAAAAAGGTTGTTTAAAGTCATATATAAGAAGACTCTTCTAACTCATTCTGCCTAATAAATAAAAGGCGATTATTTTTAAATTATCAGTCTAAAAATCACAGACTGAAAACAATTTTATAGAATCCCTTATGGACCAATCAGAAGTCTATTTAGCAATCTAAGAATGAGACTAAATACAAACTACTGCTGCATTACATTTCAAAATAGAAATTATGAGACTACCATTTCCAGATTAAGTACGACATCTATAGTTTGTGGACCTGGCAAGGACTATGGTCCTATTAAAGTCTAAACGGAATGAAATAATGTCTGAGGAGCAGGAACAAGTAGGAATAAAAAGTGTGGCAGAATAGTGACTGCGATCATCCGGTTGTTTTGGTTTATTTGCTAAAACAAAATGTGGGGTCTTTTCCAAAATGGCTAAATCCGACAACCCGAAGGCCTGGTCTGCGAGGCCTGGTGTACGCCATCGTTTCAGAAATCTCCACGAATGGACAACATTTGCAGTGATGGTGCACAAAATAATCAGCTAAACGTCCAGTCTGCATGCATGAATCCAAAAGTGCATGCTTCTAAACCTTAGTCTAGCCTTTCTCTCTCCCCCATGGCATTCCAAATGCGCACACACGTTTACTGAAAACGCCTTGTGAAAAAGAACAAATAAATACCCAGATGCAGGATCGTGCAAAACTCACCCCACTTTTTGCTCAGAGAGAAGCTGGACAGGCTCAGCAAGACTCTCAGTCCCACATCTTCCAGATCGACAAGCAAGAAGTGCCAGGCTAGACACGTGGCACTGGCATACCCAACCACAGCCCGTAATCCTCACACCACCATCACCCCCCCCCCACCACCACCCACCCAGAGCCAAAACTCCTCTGCCTCATCTCTCCACCTGCTCCTCACCCCCCTAACCCGAGCCCATAAAACATGCAAAAAGTCCAGCCTTCTACTGTCCCCCCTCCCTTCGCTGTCATCTTGAGAAAAAGTCCTGTTGTTTTTCCAGTTGACATGTTTTATTTGTTTACGGTCAAATGAAATGCAGCACAAAGAAGGCAAAAAAAGAAAAAAATCAAAGATTTTAAAAAAGCTGAGCACAATGTAATAGTAAGTTCCAGAGTAAAACAAGTCCTGCAAGGTTGAAAAGAGTCTGTTACGGTCCAAGTGTCTTATTTCTGCATTACAGGTCAGCACAGCAGCTGGTCAGCTCGGCGTCCGTAGATCCATTCCCTTTTAGACACCTTCAGTCTGGGTAGAGAGCAGCAGAAAGCAGGAAACGGCAGAGTGGGAGACGAACAGAGCACTTTCCTACCAGCACAGTCCACGCAGCAGAGGGAGACCACAGGAAAATAAATAATGAATAGGCAGCAAGAAACTCACTGTTGCTAGAGAGAGTGAAAGCCAGTCCTGCACTCTGATTGGTCAATGGTCTGGCCATGTGCTCCATAGTCACCAAAGAAGCCGGGCAAATCAAGAAAACGTTCTAATATTAGAAAATGTTTCTAGGCAGTGATCAAACATCCAACCAAAACAACTCCAGTTTTTTCCCCCAAACTGAGCTTATTCAAATCTTTCACACCTAGGTGACAGATCATGATTTCATGGAATGGTAATTTTAAATAAATTCAACTATCCAAGGCTTGGGATGTGAAACATAACATGGAAAGACTCACGCCTGCATGTGATTTGAGAAATCCTCATGAGTCATGCTGTAATCGTGCAGTAGGGGCAAATAGACTACATCTGCAGTAACAGTAAAGTGAAAAATGCTGCACAAATAATCAAGATCAAATTTAAGAATAATATAAATAAAGCTTTTCAGATAAACATTTGTTTGATTCACTCTTATAATTTTATAAACTCCAAGCTTGAATCTTTTTAAATGTGCTGTTATGAATAGCAAATGGATTGTGTGCTTCATTGAAGGGATCAACTGTTTTATATACCAATATTCTTGAGATTTAACTATTCTCTTTCACTGGATGATTTTTTTCTGTTATTATGGTATCCTCTGAGCATAGAAATCAAGGCGGGAGGCGCTAATTACAAAGCTACAAAAGCTAAACCAACCTGATGAAGGAAATATGTGCAGAATCAAACATGTTTCCAGTCTGAGCCACAGACTGGTACGTTCATTTGTTCATAATTTAGGTTAGTATGAGACGTGAAGCTGACAGCACAGTTAACTGGATAAATACCAGTGGTCTTTCTGTGTGGAGTTTGCATGTTTCACCCAGGCATTTGTGGGTTCTGTTTCAGGTTCTCCTCAGGTTCTCCAGGTTAACAGGAGCACCCCCCACTGACTTCTGGAGATAGGCACCACGCCCCGAGTTGGCTCATCTACCTGCAACAATAACCAGGTAGAGACAATGGACGGATATTAAATAAAAAAAGCATTTCGTAGGAGTGAGGTTGGCTGCTACAGAACTGGCTGGAGATTCAGTTTTGATTCTTTTTACTTAAAGGACAAGCTGGTGTAGCCACAGAGCATACATTGATTTTTTTTCTTCTTTTTTTACAAATCCAGTATACCATTCAGATGTATATGAATGGACCATAAAGCGAAGCTGTTGGGATATCTCTTCTGTTCAGAAGAGCTTTACAAGACAGTACCAGTCTACTGTCACATCTCAGATGCTGTGCGGTGTTTAGGACAAGCAGAATGCCCAGGCAGTTGCATGTGGACTTAAGCAGATTTTTTTTTCAGTATCATTGAAATTAGTGCTGAGAACTTGATGTCATTTAATTATTTATTTGTACAAACTACTGGTACCAGCACTCTGCATACAATCACTGGATTATCAAAAGGATTTATAACATTAATTTAAGTTTTAAGTTGTTGCAGCTCTGCTTACTGTTTAAAGTCCTAAAAAAATTTCCAACTTCAGTTTATTAACTAAATTTGTAACATTTAATCTCTAAGGAGAACATATGTAAATGATTCACTGGGATGTGCATTTCTAGACTGAACTGAGTAACATTTAAAACGGTGTTTACATTGATTTCTTGTCAGCTTCTTCAGTTTTTTTATTTTCAAAAAAGGTATATAACCTAAAACTTTTTGTGCAAAATTTGCATCAATATTGCTTATATTTTAGCTTATCAGAAGATATGAAAAGTGAATACATTTTTACATTCACAGTACCCAAGGTGAAAGTTTGTCATACCTCCTGGTCTTTTTCTGATAGCAATTTTTCTGGTGCCTCCGCCATTTTTCTTTACAATGTCACAAACCTCTCAGTCTCTCTCCTCCTCTGTCAGCTCTGTACACCAGTGTGCCTGTGTAGTCTGCTTCTTTTACACAGCTAACTTCTTGATCAGTTTGAGCACTGCTGCCAACTAGTGACTGGAGGCTTGTTTGTCGTTCAGGCATATTGTACCCTCCCACCCCCACCCAACCAACACCTCAGTGCACCCCACTGAATCCCAGTATTGCAGAACTGCTCTAGTAGGAACAAATTGTGATCTGTTGTCTGTTTTGAGATAATATAAAAAGAGCAGAAGAATATCAAGAACAGGTGCTATTATTTTAAAACCTCAGATATTAACACACTTAAGTCCTCATTAAACATCTACATCAGTGACATGCAGTTAGAGGAGACTCACCTGTCACCATGAATGACAAGTAAAATAGGTACCGTATTTTCTGGACTATAAAATTGCACTTTTTTCTTAGTTTTCCTGTTTTTTCCTCTTGACATCTTAGAATTTATGATTGGCCACAAATGTGAAGAGACAAAGTTCAGGGTGAAGCAAAAAGTACCATACCAGTGCTGTGGAGAGCATGCACATTGAAAAGACAGAAAACAATCAGGAAAAATATAAAAAATAAATACATTTGAAATAGAACCCAACCAGGAGGACTGGTCTCTATGGCAATCATCTCCATTGAAACAGTCAGAAGTTTAAAAAGAAGGCAAGCATGGAGGATTTTATGATGTCCATGGAGGATAGGCGGATGGAGTTTGTATGCAAACAAAGGTGAGAGTTTACATTAATTTCAGTTTATAAAAGAGAGCCAAAGAACTTAATATTATGACCTAATATTAAATATTTTGTGTTCTATCATTTTGCTGAATAGTATGGAATTGATTAAAGCATAATAAGCTACCAAAGCAACTAAGCATTTCAGTTAAGGTCAAAATATTTTGACTTTAACATGGCCTTATATATTTGTATATCCAACTGGAGAGAAGACAGTGCCTTACCAGCCATGATGAACCTCACCAGTCTACAACATATTACTGATGTAGGCATCACAACATACAAGACAGCATCTAATTAACACAAAGTGATCTAACTTAAAAACAGTCATTAGACTTTATGAGCAAACTATTAGGCAGCTACTTTGTTATCCTTATGTTCCCTTGCCGATGGATACATGTTGGCCTCAGTCTAAAATATCCATATGGATCTGAAAAACCTGCTGCACCACAGGCCTGAAGAACAGGTGAAACAGCACCAGACGTGACTATTCATTGTTCCTGCCAGAAATGTTGACATGACCGTTCCTGAGATTTCAGTTACGGTACTGTTTTTCAAAAAGACAAATTAAAAATTAAAACTTGAATCTTTAAACAAAGTCACTGTTTTTTGTAGAGGACACAGAGACACCGTTTAAGTTTATTTAGGTTTAAAT